TATTGTTAGTTCTGCATGTCATGGTGGTACGAGGGCTGGGATACTGTCAGGGCGCCCACACCTAGACAGGACGATTAGGGTCCTCAACCAAAGCCTTTGGCTCAAAGCCTAACCGCCGGGGACAACCAACATCGACCATATCGACCGCAGCGTAGCGACACTAGCCAGGTCATCTTATTTGCTGTGAACGGCAGGATGAATAAGCGAAAACAAGCGGCTGTCGATTCCTTCCATACTTCTTTATTATTGGCTTTCCCTGCAGTACCTAATGAACGCTATTCTGCAGATTCAGGCTATAAGCGCGTCAATCAGGCACCCGAATACGGGATCGATTCAACACCAGCACCCACATCTGTTGTTTTGTGTCCGTTAATGTCACTTAAGCGTACACCAATGGGTACAGTATTCATTAGTGGTGCTTTGCTGTCTGTGATGGTGCCTATGAAACTCGCCTAGATGGAACTTTCTGGATTTCGAGATTTCAACCATTCCCGAGTAACCCTCACTTTACCCTCATTTGACTGTAATAGTTTTGAGAGTTGAAGAACCAGTGCAACCGGAACAAACAGCAGTCGAAGTCGTTCAGTATCATCAACAAAGAACACGAGTGAATTCGCGCCTCATTAGTTATTGTTATTAACGCTAACAAGGTCGATGCAAAAGGGCACCAGTCCCGATTGATGAAGGCCGCTCCGAGTATCCCATCAGGAAAAATGACACCAGAAGTTGAGTTGGTTAGTTATGCAGGTCATGAGTCGTCTGGAAAGCCATCCGCTCAAACAGCATCGGAAGCACTTCGAAGTCAGAATCGGAGGACGTCGAGAGACAGATCCAGGAAATGCATACGGAAGGCAAACAACACAACGAAAGAAAAATAACAGGAAGGAAAAATCTTTCATTTCAACAAACAGCTAAGCGGAAAATCCCAACAATGAACGCGAAAAAAGCAGAAAAAATATTTACTAGCCAAAACAGTAGACTTAATTTAGTAGTTCCAGTAAAAAGTGCTAGTTCTTTAGGCGGACACGCTACAAAAAAACCGTCCCAATGATCAACTAAGGTTTGTCCAATAAATCCGGTAGGATCACGTTACAGAACAAAACTGCTAACCGCAGTTTTGTGGGTTTAACTTTCGGCTTACCGGTAAGAAAGCTCCACCAATTTCTATTTGGCCATTGTGCACACGTCCGATGATAGTTTGTGTTCCCACTCCATAGGCCATACCGGCCCATCTCTTGTCTATCCACGGCTCAAGGTTGCAGCGTTGAGCACAACGTTCGCTCATTATGGTACTTTGGGCACCTGAGTCCACAAATGCCTTGATAGGGTGATTGCCCACTTTACACTGTACAAACAACATGGAGACTTGCGCGAACGTTTCGGGATAGTGCTCGAGTGCTGTCTCCATATGTTGGTCAATGTTCTTGTGTCTTTAAGGGGGGGGGGAACGAAGTTCGGATAAACTGGAAGAGCAGTACCGAAAATGACGACAAGCAACAAGGAAGATTCTGGCACCATTGTAGTATGCCTGAAATTTAAGCGAATACTTAGCTTACATTTTTTTCTATCCGCCACACGAATGGCAATGACCCTGCTACCTGTTTTAAAATGCGTAATGGCTGCTGATACGACATTGCGCATCGAGAAACCTCTCTAGGCGATAACCACGGATGAGTAAATAGCTATTGCCTTCAATGCATAGCTCCTTTCCCCCCACTTGAAGCCCACTGA